CATCTTTGTTGGTATGTGGTGCTGAGGATCGAACCCGGGCCGCACGCATGCCAGGCGAGCGCGCTACCGCTTGAGCCACATCCCCAGCCCCCAAACTTTTTTGATCTGTAGTCTTTTACATCTTTTTGCTTCAGTATGGGCTCTTGGAATTGCTCCTTTAAAAAAAATATTTTTAGTTGTAGATGGACAGAATACCTTTATTTTATGTGGTACTGAGGATCAAACCCAGTGCCTCACATCTGTGAAGCAAGTACTCCACCACTGAGCCACAACCCAGCCCCTGCAATTGTTCCTTTTAAGAGGTACAGGGCAATAAAATATCTTATTCATTGCATATAAGTTTTGTGTCATGTTACATATAAATACTCATTTAGTTATGAATATGTCTTATGCCATATAAAATGTCACCTAGTACTTCTTATTATCTGTCATTTTCTCATGGTTGCTTAGTTTTGGTTTCCTTATTAAAAATTTTTTATGATATAGAATTTCTATTTCTTTGGTTTAGATCTTATATTTCAATTAATTTAAAAATGAAAAAAAAATCAGTCCTTGAGCAAGTATTTTTTTTTAATCCCACAAACACACAAGCAGAGGAAGAACGCAGTATTAAGTTATAATAGATTCAGAAGGAAATCCTTTCCTTAAGATTATGCTGGCTCTGTTGCCTCCTGCCACACCCCACACCTATCTCCTCTCATTTATCAAGTTCAGAGGTAGCATACTGTTTAATTTGCACTGTGTCTTCCAAATTTTATAGTATGGAGATTCACATGTGAAAAAATCCACATCTCCAGGTATCTTGAAAAGTCAGAAGGTCTGGATGCACTCTCATTTCCTTAGATCACTGTTTTGCCAACATTCCTCACTTTCTCACACACAGCCTGTTTTACTCATTTACACTGCCTGTCTGACTCCTGTAGATAGTCTAGTTTGTAACTTGCAATCTAGTTAATTCCCAAATACAATACACGTTGGAAGACACAACATAAATATTACAGTCAGCACTCATGTCAGGGATTCTTAACCTGAGTTACAACATGGATAGATTCTGAAGAGTTAGAAAGCCTGTTTGAAAAGGTAGATGTAAGTTTGTGCCTATATCAAATTTATGATTTATGGTACAATAGCCCAAAGGTGTCCAGATTCTTCAAAGCAATTCACAGCCTGATAAGTTTATTCAGTCCTGACCTGAGGTAACAATAGTATACTTATAATTTTGTTCAATAAGATGAAAAGATACTCATAACTCTAGGAGAATCAAATACATGCAAACATTTATAGATTTATATATTTAAATAGTTTTTCCGAAAATATTTTAACTGCTGAATTTTTATCCTGCTGAGAGTACGTGTTTGTGTGTGGGTATATGTGTTTGCACATACACACAAGCGTAGGTATGTGAACAGGGAATTGCATAAAGAAACCTGATACAACTTCTCTGCATTTGTTCTACAATATATTCATTGAGTTTGTACACTACAGGACAGGCATTGTCTAATGCTGTGGCTATACCAATAATTAAAAGAGAAAAAATCCATGCCTTCATGAAGTTGACATTCTCATTGAAGAAAATAGAACATAAACAAAATAAACCAGTAAAATATACAGCATATTAGAAGGTGAAAGTACTATGTATGAAAGTAAAACATGGAAGAGGGATAGAGTTTGCCTGGGCTGGAACAAATCAAACTGAAATTTTAAACTCAATGGTCTGAGAAGGGCTTACTGAAATTGTGCTATGTGAGCAGAGAGACTGAACCTGTGGACATGTGGAGAAAGACTGGTCTAGGTAGTACATGCAAAGAGCCTGAGGTGGGATATTGGTTGGAAGGTTCTAGAAACCCAGGTAGGTCAATGTGGCTGAAACAGAATTACTAAGGGGAAGAGAAGTTAAAGATCAAGGGAGATAGCTGTAGGAACAACCTTTTGATGAACTATAGTTACACAGGGAACCAATGGCTGGAATTGTTTACCAAATGGGACAATTTCTAAGTTTTTTGAAGGGTTATCTCGGTTTTGGGTAGATTCTGGCTTGGACTATTGATTGTTTTAAGGAAATGCGTCTTGTTAGGAGAGAAAGCACAAGGATGAGCATGCCTCTGGATGAAAGAGTTGTTCAGAGAGATATTCATCCAGGTAAACACACAAGTACTCTTATTACATGCTTCTTTTTCAGTTCTCAATAACTAGGCACTGAAGCAAATGTTGGAATTGATGTCATTGATCCTGATATCTGGAGTTACATTGGCATTGGGAAACAGTAGCTGTGATAGATAATCTTTGCTTGAGGTTATTCATATCATGCAGGTGACTCAGAGGTTTTGCATTGTTTTAAATCATTTATTTGTTTACAAAACAAATTTCACATTTTATGCTAACATTTATGCAATTATGCTTTTTTATGTTTCTATTCTTAATAAAAATTTTAAAATTTTGATTAATCATTAACTCACAAATTTAGAAAAACAACAAAGAAAAGATAGCTTCTCCAATAAGTGTTAACATTCCAAATCTTATTTTTGAGCATTTGCAGAGTGTAATTGGTCAGTTAGCTTCCTTATTTACTTATTTATTTATTGGTGCTGAGGACTGAACTCAGGATCTTCTGTGTACCAGACAAGCACTCTGCCTCTGAACTATATCCTCAACCCCTGTTATCTGCAGCTTGGAAGGCAATTTTTACCCATTCAAGATGTATTTTAATTTACAATATGGAATAATGATAATAATAAATATAAAATAATTAGGACTCATTGAAAAAAACAAGGGTCTTTTATAAGGTGACAAAAGGAATATTGTGATGATCCAAGATTGAAAACAGACAGAGAGTATTATGTAATTAGAAAAGAGCTTCCATCTTAGCCCTTCTTGAGGACTGGAGAGCTTCTGGGTTCTATCAATGGTTTGAGCAGGGCCAGCCAAATGCACAAGGGAGACCAGAGGTCTCCTGGAAGTCAAAGGCCTCCTGGATGTCTCAGTTTGTATTAGCCCTGATTGTTTCTGGTTTTTGTCCTTTGCTTTAATTGCTATTCCACACTTCCTCCTGAGACATCTATAACTCTGTTTGTAATGCCACAGCAAGGTTTTAAAACAGTGCTTATTATAAACATATTCTTCCCATTCTTTTAAACATGCTTAGTTTGCAAGAAGGAACAATATGGTGGATTATTTAAGAGTGGCAAGAGGCTAACATTTCCTACAAATTGATCTGGCAATACATCAACTTCTTAAAGAGAAATTGATTTTTTTTAACTTTATATTAAACTCTAGCATTGGTGATTTTTCTATGCACTGTTTATGGGTGGAGTGGATTATAATGTAAAAAAAGCAAGCTGATATATGATTGTTCATGTACATATAACTCTATAATACTCTATCTTGGACAAAAAAAGAAAAAATCCCAAGCAATTAAAAAAAAACAAAAAACCTTACCCTTAAGACTTTCCAAGATTTAATAAAAATAATGAAAGTTAAAGATTCTGTATAGCCACTGTACCTTTCAACGCCTTTTGCTTCTGAGGAGACAGCAATATATCTATTTGATGATAGTAGTTTTCCTTTGAGTCATTTTTGTCCTCATCTCCTTCAGAATCTTGCCTTGTTAATGCAATTCTTTGGCACTCCCCTGGCTCCTGTTGAAAACTGGTTAATTCAAGGCTCTCTTTGTCTTGATTACCACTTTGGTCTGCATCACTGTTTAATGTTTTCTGTATAAGAAACAGCTTATCCGTCACACACACTTTGTAGCTGGACTCAGCAGTGTTTGGTGGAAAGTCCATTTTAAAACAGTTTTCATCATGATTCTCACTGGGTAGGTCTTCAAAACCTCGGTGGCATGCATTCATTATCACTGGTATTAGTTGGCATTTTTCTTTTTCAATATTCTCCAAAAAGCTGGGTGACTCTTTGGGGGTTCTCATTCCCAAGGGACAATTAGAATCAACTGTGTGTTCTTTATCATTTTGAGTAATTAATCTTTGCTCGAACTTATCAGTTATGAAGCTCATGACTGACACTTTTGTTCTGCTAGGAGCTACTGTCTCTGGATGATTTTTCTGGGCTTCTGTTTGATCCCATCCAACAGTGGTGTGGCTAATATTGTGAAGTGAATCCTCAACAGCTAGGCTGCTGCAGGATGCAGGGATGAGGGTTGGACTCTGTGTACTCTTTGTTTCCAGCAGTTGCTGTGTGTTTGCACAAGAGTCACCATGTATAATGGCTTTTTTAATGTCTGTTTCAGTCATATCACCATGCTCTTTCTCATGGTCTATCACAAATTCAGCACAATGGTTAAAGGAAAATGTATGCCCAAGGGTATCTTTGGGTTCTAAATGTCTGGTGGCCAAGTGAGAAGGACTGAATGAGGTAGAAGACTTCAGAGCATTTTGACTGGAGGAGAAAGATTTAGAATTTGAGTTCTCACAGCTTTCTGTGGATGAAGTTTTGTTGCCTTTGCAATAGATACTAGTGGCCTTTTCTCCCAAAAGCTGAATGCTTAGAGAAGACAGAGAACAAAAGTCAGAGTCTGAGACATCTTGAATGGGAATGATGTTGGTAACGGTACTTAGCAAATGATTTGTTCCATCTGTGCTTTGCTGAGTATGTGACTCTGGTGTGATATTTTCTGGGACAGCAGAGTTGTTTTTTCTCTCTTTATCCACATCCTTAGGATCCTCAAAAGGTGTTTTACTTAAGTGTGTATTATTTAAACGTGTGGTCTTTAGAGTATCATGTGAAGTAGGAAGAATGTTTTTCTGAAGAGCATCAGCTCCAGAGAAATGTTTCTTCTTGGGGTTGTTCTGACAAATTTTAAAAGCCTTCTGCTGAAAGATGGCAGATTCTACCTCAGAATCATCTGAGACTGAAGATAGTGTATCAGACTTATTTTTTTCTCTTTTGGGAGTTGAGGTTAAAGAAACCAGAACTGTGTCAGAATTCTCCTTCTGAATGGTGCACTCAACAGGCGGAGAGGCCCCTGCACTCTGGTGCTTTTTTTCAAGCTGCTGCTTTTCAGGGTACTTAATATCAGATTGCAAAGGAGACCTGAAACTTTCTTTAGTGGTGAGATTGGAGGGAATGGTTCTGTATTTGGTTATTTTTCCCCTTCTTTTAGGATGAGTTATGTTAATTATTACATTCTGTTTCTTACTTATGTATTTAACCTTAATTTCTTTTCCTACAATGCCTACTTTCAGTGAGGGGCTCTCAGTTCTGGCAAGTTTCCCCTGTTTAGATGACACCTCAGGTTTTATTTTTTCTGCCAGTGTATTATTGTGTTTAGGAAAGCATCTCCTAAATGTGTAACATCTCCTAATAAATCTGGCAGAGAACGGCTGGTGACATGTTGGACATACCTTTTTTGTTGGGAACTGTGCTCCTGTTTTACAGAAAATGCTTTTCTTGATTTCTACTTGCACATTGAAAGCCCCACATTTCACTTCTGTAATAAATTTTCCGTTTTCTGCTTCACAGTTTTTTACTGTGCTTGGGAAATCCTGTAGTGTAATTTTTCCTGATAATGATTCTTCACCATCTTTAAACATGACCACCACCGGTAATGCTTTCTTTAGCTGGTGAGAGATGGCCAAAGAAGGATCATCATTTTCTTCCCCCCTACCTATTTTGCTGTCAGATGGAGGTTGTTTCTTTTCTTCAGGGAGAAAAGAGGGATTTTGCTTTCGGTTCACAGAAGCAGATGTATGCTCGTCTCTGTTTTCCTTAGATTTCCTTAATACACCAGTCTGATGAAATGCAGCTTTTGAGGTATCTCCTTCGACTTCCTTTTCAAGTTCTTCTGTATTTTTTTGGCATGCTTGACCAGAAGGCTGAGATGTACCTAAAAGAAGAAGAAGAAAAAAAAAAAAGAAAGAAAAAAAACCATTTAAACAAGATGAAACATAATGCATATCTTTTTATATCCTTTATATTCTTTTGTAGTGTAATTAATATTTTTCATCCATTTCTAGTGTGTCAATTTATTTTCCACAAAAGTTCAGTTCTAATAAGTATTTATTTTTAATTCTCAGAATAAATAATATCACCTGTTAGTTTTAGGAGATAATAATTTAATTAAGCTTTACTCAAAAACAACTTCCCAAAGTGGGTAAAGTGAAAATTTCAAAAGAAATGTATGCAAGTAATTTTTAAATGCAACTTCTTAATAAAGAGCAAGTTGCCATTATCAGGTATTTGAACATGGCATTATGTTACAGGCTATACTGAACTCCATATAAATTATGATGGTGCCACTAATGAAGATGTGAGTAATGAGGATCAAAAAGAGCCAAGTATGGTTTCCAGGCAACCTTTCAAACATGTCTGACAGAATCCTTTGTCCCATGCCTTTTATGGGATATCATTATGAACTCCAATTCCTAGGACATCAACAGGTGAAGCAGGATAGATGTACTTCCTCTGCAATTGAGTTCCAATCGACAGAGGACATGTGAGAAGGGATCCTGGTATTACTACATCTTCTCATTTCCCAGGACAGAATAAGATTCTGGTTTTATTATACTGTGCAAGTCCTCCTAATTTCTAAGAGTTGGATCAAATAAAAAAAAACACCTCTTTTCAGGTGGGGACCAAAAATATGTAGAAACCAGCTTTGACTTCAGGATTGTCAGCCTGCAACTTGTGCTTCTCTGCTTTTTAAAGTTGAAATTGTGAGAAATTTGTGAAGCTGAAATCAAGGTACCTTATGTAAAACACAGTGGGGAAAAACAAAAAGATCTCACATTCTATTTTAAACATCTCAAGGAGGTTATTTATTAAGGAAAATAAAGAAGAATGGGCAACAAGTAAATAATGATGCCATAGAAATTGATAAACTAGGTGACCAAAAGGTGATTCTTAATAATCTGATGAAGTTTAAAAATTAGAAACGATCATTTATAAATTTTATTTAAATGTTATCAAATTAAGCATAATTTTATATATAGTTAAATATTTTGTATAAATACTTATGTAAGTATGCATACAGAGAGTAAATAAATAAATTCTCTTCAGCAGGAGAAGAAAAACATCAAGTATAATAGAATTATTTGGAGAGTATAATCATTCCCATTTGTCTGTTTTCTAGTCTGACAGAAGGGCTTCTCTCTAGGTAAGTACTGAAACAATTTCTAGTGGGTCTGGTTATAATCTAAAAGTTGTAATGTGGAAGTCATGGGAGAAAAGACAGAGACAATTTCTCTAAAGTACATTTATGACAGAGCATGGCCATGATAACAGTTTATAAGCTGAAGGACTGCCTTCCAGAACTGGAGATTATAGTTCATTCTTAAAATAACACCTTTATGCCAAGAACAGTTCAAATATATATATATTGAATATATATATTTTATAGCCCCCTTCAATTGACTATTCTTAATATATGCAAGCAAGAAGATAGAACTGAAAAAATAATATAAAGATGCACTGATGACAGACTCTAAGTTGGTGGTCTTAATATTCTATGTCTCAATAAGTAAATATATTTATTTAATTTTTATTATCACAACACCTAACATTAATAATTAATGCAGAATTGTATATATTATAACAATAGACCAAACTTTAAAATCATCCTATAATATTTATAAGTACTTTTCTTCCTATTTTATATTATAGACATCCCTGTGGTAAAGAACAAAGTGCATAAGGTGGTAGTTAAACTTTTACATACTTACAAAAGCATCAAATGGAACTTACATACTGTGGTATTCAATGCTTTCTTTTTTTTATAGCCTCTTCTTCTTTTCCTTCTCATTTTGGAGAGCTGTAGATCTTCAGTTATCACTGCCCTTTGAAAACATACAATTTGAAATTATTTTTCATTCTAAATTTAGGTTTAATCAATTTACTGGCCAACTCAACTCATTTGTAACTTGCTACCATAGTATTTTTCTCTTTCCTATAGTATTCTCCTTTGAATACATTTAATTTTCATAATTATATTTTCCTTACTGTTTTGTTCTATCCCAGCTATCTAGTGTATTATCATATGCCATGTGAATATTTTACACACACACATACACACACGCACACACACACACACATGAGCACACACACGAGCACACAAATTGGTAGACATTTAGAATTCAAATTATAAAATTATATGAAAATAATAATCATATTTTTAAATAATCATATTTTTATTTTCCATTTTTTCCTTATCCTAATAGAAGCATCTAAGTTTTTGTGAAGTTAATCTAAATTCAATATCATCAAATTTTTAGCTTTCCCAAGTTAAGTGCGATAGAAAGATGGTTTGCCTTTGTTGACATATCATTACACATAGTAAATTTAAATATAAAATTGAATGCACACATTGACAGAGTTGGCAATTCTTGTAGAAGTCTCAATTAATTATTTACATTAATTGTGAAACAAAAATTTATATTCCCTGTTCATGATGTCTTAAGTAATAGAAAATGTTGGAGGAGGTATTTGGGGGAAGGCAGTCTCCTAACTTGGTAAGTAGGCATCTGCCTGTGCTTAGAACTCTGCCTGATTCTAATTGCATTAATTACTACTTTAAAATATTAAAGTATGTGCAAAGATGCAAGAGGAATGGCTTCCTATGGAAGCAGTTTATTTTATGCCTTTGGACACCTCCGCTGAGCATCTTGGCTTGTTTTATGAGTAATTTAAATGAAATGGGGCTGATTTATGGCCAGTTTTAATAAAAATTTACTTAAATCCTTAACTCATTTGTCTACTCAACCCCCAACCCATGCCATAGGATACTATGATACATCTAGGATACATAGATATATTGATTTCAAATCCTTCATACTCCAGACTTTAAAAGATTCACAACTTGCTGACAATTCTTTTTCCTTAGGTCACGTTTCTCATATAGAGCAGTTTATACTCTTTTGGCATCTTCCAATTGTGCTTTCTTCTCTCTCCTTCAAGAGGCACAAGAAAGTCCCTTAGGCTGACAAGACAGCAAATAATCCTTTCTTCTTAGAAGGTTAATGTGGGGGTTGGATTTGGAAGCAGATTACAAACACATAATTTAATCTTTTTCTTTTTATTCCTTGGGCTTTTGAATTTAAAACATTCTTTGAAAACACTTGACTAATATAAACTATTTCTCTGTGAGTCCATATTGTGGACAGAAAAGGTTACCTGCTATACTGGGTTCAGTGGAGGGCATCTGGACTTTTTTAGAGAGGAGAGAGAGAGAGAGAGAGAGAATTTTTTTTAATGTTTTATTGTCTAGTTCTCGGCGGACACAACATCTTTGTTGGTATGTGGTGCTGAGGATCGAACCCGGGCCGCACGAATGTCAGGCGAGCGCGCTACCGCTTGAGCCACATCCCCAGCCCCGGCATCTGGACTTTGATCAGAAGACCTGAGTATCTTACTCAGCAGATGCTATAATCTCTGTAAGGTTGTTTTCTTCACTTCTAAGGTAGAAATGATAACAAATTCTACCTTACAGAGTTGTCTTAAAGAAACACAACTGAAAATATGATGCCTGTTCTTCTGATTTCTTCTTCTCCTCTTCCTCCTTCATCTTCTGTGTTGAAGATTGGTTCCTGTTATTCTTAACCTCCTATCAGCAACAGGCAAATTACATAATTACTTCCATAATTACTTCCATTGAACATTGCCTGGCTTTGGGAGACAGGTCATCTCATCAGAGTTATAGGTGAGTACTCAGATAATGCTAACCAAAATATAAATTCTTTTTGAGCTGGACTTTCTAGAAGTTTCCAAGGACATCTCATCCAAAGCTCTCATTTTACAGGTGAGAAACAGACCCAGACCGTCCTTGCTTCCTGTATCTCACTAATAATCCAATACCTCACTAACAAACCAGAACTAGAATGCCGGCTGTTGAGAATTAGACATAGGCAAGCTCTCTGAGTAGACACACATGGTGTAGATGGCTTGGTATTGCTTCTGATCATACCAAGAAAATGTTGTAGTAAGTTTTAATTTTAATTCGGAGAGAGCACGACTTTGTTCCATAAAATTGAATGTACTCAGAATCTAGCAGAGTACCTGACACCTAATAATTATGCATGAATATTTAAATGCATTAAATTGACAGTGCCAATCTGTACCTAATTATGTTTTTAATAAAATGCCCTCTTGTGTTTCTAAATATATTCATTCCTTTCAATAAAATTCCATATACTTACTGTATTTTCAATTTAGTGATAGTCAATTTATAGTTAATTTGTGTATAGCTGTTTTTTACAACCAAATTGTTCATATTTTCCACTACAAATTATCTCTCTTGCCTCTACTTTTGTAAGGGGCACCAAAATCAGCTGATGGCATTATCATTGGCATTAGTCTCATAATCAGCCTGTGGGGTACTATCAACTTTACTTTAACTGAATGGCCTCAAATATTTCTTCCTACTAAATGTGGCATGGCTGCAACCACATTTTCTAAAGTGACCCTAAGTAAATGATGTGTGGGAGAAGTTGTTTCTTATCATCCCTGTCTCCTGTTTTCTGTGTGATTTTTTGTCCCATGTGACCCTCTTCTTTCAAGACAGGTGATCATTTTATGTTCTTGTCAGTTTCTCTCCCTTCTTTCAGAAAGGCATAATAAAATTAGAGAGAGAATGGTTAGAAAACAAACATAGTAGGGGCACTGAATTATGTTTTAGAACAGGAAAGAATTTAATATTTTATTTTTCAAAAAATTTCAAAGTAGTGATCATTGGAAAAATTAGAATATTCTTGGACTTCCTCAAACATGATTTGGAATTTTTAATTTTACATGCAGACATCATAATCATTTCAGAGATTTCCTATAACAGTTTCATAATATGAACATATTTCCTATCTCCTAAACAAATATTTACCATCTTATTTCTTCTCCAGATTCTGATCTCTCCTCCTCTTCCTATACTCTGGATGAGGAGCTTGACACGTGGGACATGGGAAATGGAAATTGACTGAAACTCTTTTTGTTTTCCAATACCCAAACTGCCAATTTCTTTGAACTTGTATCAGATTTTATCAAATTCCTTTTATTTTGAGTGCACCTGGACCATTTTTCCTACAATTATTTTCTCTTCTCCTATAGTAACAATTTCCTTCTTTCATGGTTATCACTCCATGTACTGTCACATATCTCTGTTCACTTTGACAGCAGCACATCTTGAAAAATTCATCTATATTTTCTGACTCCTCTTTTCTTACTCATATCTTTTCTGAAGTCCACTACAAGCAGGTCAATATTCCCATACATTCCACCAGGATGTATCAGGCGGTTATCACTGACACCCAGATAATCACTGACACCCAGGTTATTACTGACACCCAGATTGCTAAAGCAAAGAGTCACTTATCTGCTATCATCTCAGAATTTGACTCACTGTTCCTCTTGCATGTGTTCCTTCCTCAATTCCTCAGAGCCACACTCTCCTGGTCATCATCCTGCTCTATTAACAGTCCCTTCTTAGATGCTGTTGCTGGATCTTCCCTTGCTCAGTCTCTAATCTTTGACATCTTCAGGTTTCTTTTGCTTCTTCATCAACTCTCGTTAGAAAATTCATGTCCATTGCTTTGAAATCTTCTATATGGAAAATTTTATGTATGTATAAAATCTTCTGTTCTAAAATTCATAATTTCATAAGCTCAGAAGTCTTAGCTTAAATACTTTAAACTGCCAAATAGATATATCTTCTTGGATGTCTAATTGGAATCTCAAACTTACCATGTACCCAACAGAGTTCTTTATGTCCTCTGCTTTCTCCAATTCTTTTCTCCTCTGAATCTTTCCAGTCTCAGTCAGCAGCATCACCATTTATTCAGCTCAAATCAGATACGAACATATCATCCATGACCCTATAACATTCCTCATTCAAGCCATCAGGATTTGTCCTACTCTATTTCTCAACATCTTATCCCAAATGTATCCATTTATTTCTTTTTTCCACTGTTACTACCCAAATCGAACCCACCATATTTATGTTTTTAAAAATCTCAACTAATGTAACAATTTTCTAATTAGTTTTCTTATTTCCAAAAAGTTCAAGTTACAAAATATTTGGAGACTATGTATATTTATACTTATTTATATGGTTAATGTTCATATCCTTTGATTATTTACATAGCATCCAGATTGATTTTTTAAATGCAAATTAAATCATACCATATCTCTCTGCTGAAAACTCTTAAAGGGCTTCTTATTTCACTTTGAAAAAGTTCTAAGCACTTAACTTTTTCTTCATAGAAGCCAAAAATTTAATTTTATCCACAAGCAAAGAATATCACCATTAGAGTTTGGTTATACATTACAGAGTCCATTCCATTACAGATTTTCCTGACTTTATATGTTTTATAAATATTTATTTGTTCTGTGAAAAATTGGCAATAAAGTTCAGGAAAGTCACCATGATTGCTATTTTTTACCAGCTGAATCCTATTATATCTGTTGCCTTTATATTGGATTTTATAGATTTTTTTTTCCAACTGGGCTTTGACTCATTACTATAATCATAGAAGAATGAAAAAAATCTGAACAGAAAAACTTACAATATTTTTCTACTGCAGAATTACATGGTGGTACTGTTACTCTGAGAAAGCTGTTGAATTGTGAAGATTTTTTTTTTGAAAGGTATTGTTAGAAAATTTTACTGATGTCACTTTTCTGACAAATTACTTAGAAATTTCTCTATTGTATTGCTAAGCTGGAACATTTTCCTTGAAACATTGAAAGATAATGCTCTATTACCAATACAAAGAAGTTCACGAAAGAATAGATAATGATCACTATTAAAACGCTAGAAGGAGACTAAATATGAAATAAATTCAGACGGTTAAAT